TAAAATATAAAGTTAAAAAACTTTTAAAAAAACCTGTTCCCGGTGTGGTATTGAACCGAGGTATATCCGTTTGGAAGTCCGATGTGTAGACCGTTGCTCTGCAGAGCGGCCATACTCCGCGCTCATCTAGCGCCTTTCATCTTCTGTCCTCCTTCTCCTCCCCTCTTCCGTCTCTACTCCGTGTCTCTCCCTCCATCGTCACTACTCCTGACTCTCCGCTACGTCTCTACTCCGTGTGTTCCCCCCTTATTCTCCCAGGCGTGTTTGCATTTTTATTAACCAATTCGTGTTCTTTCTCAGATGACAGGTACACGTCTACTTTCTAACAATTGTTCGTTAATGCAAAATTCATAGTTCACACTCAAATCAAAGTCAGTATCCAGAAATCACAACTCAAATCAATTGACAATTCAAATTAGCGTTCATCATTAATTTCAAGACAGCAAGGTACGTAATTTCAAATTTAGTTACATTTCTTCTTTCTTGTCTTTCTTCCGTCTTCGTTTTGGTTTCTTGCCTTTTTCTCTTATGTTCCAGGACTCATCTTCAGCTTCAGGACTCTGTGACGCGTCCCTCTTCGCCTTGCCCCCCTTCCTCTCCGTCGTCTGCACGCTCACCGGGTGTTGTTTTGGCTGGCTGGCGGCGCCGGGCGGCGCTCCGTCTGCTGGGCGCGTGACGTCAGCTGGTGGCGTGGTCAGGTGTTGCGATGCGTCGGCTGCTGGCTTGCTCGCTGCAGGCGGCGTGACGTCAAAGAGAGGGGTGAGGAGGGGAGGTGGCTCGCTGCTGGCGCGGCGAGGCTCCGGCTCAGGGGCTGCGTCCGAATCAACAGTGGCCGGCAGGTCTTCCGTCACGTCTTCCTTGCGGCGCTTGCCGCCCCGCCTCGTCGGACATTTCGCACGCAGATGCTGCGGCGAGTGACAAAGTTGGCAGGTACGCGGCTGGCCCGGGTACTCAATGATTACAGGGCAACCGGCGATTTCAATATAACTCGGTATGTCTTCTTCAAGCTCCATGGTGACGATCTTCTGCCCCGTGCGAATACCACGGAACGGATGATCACCTCCATACAGCAAATCTTCAATTTCGAACGAACGACCGTACCTCAACAAGTCGTCTCCGATGTCTTGGTCGCTGACTTCTGGCGGCAGGTTGTAAATCTTGACGGGCGTAGGCTTGCGACCGTTGCTCGTGATGATCACGCTGCGCTCCGATCCGTCGGCACACTTCAATGTTCTTAGCCTCTTCGCGAGGATGGCTTCGCACGTTTCTGGCAACGGCACTTCTCCATGATCGCTGTCCTTGTCGTTGACCTTGATGTGAACACATGGCCGGCCGAACTCAGCTTGCACACATCGCAAATCTTGTCGTGCTAATCCGAGAACACTCACAACAAACTTCAAAAGATCACTAGGCGTTGGGACGCCCCCTTCACTCAAATCAAAGTTCAGGGTAAAAGTACCCGAACGTACAACTTCTCGTGCCATGTTTTCTAACCTCAAAAACAATCACAACAATCGATGCGCGCGCGCACCCAGCTGCTCTCGGGAGCTGGCACCGGCGTCCGTCTCCCTCGGCGGTCAGGGCCACCGCCGAGGAGAGCGGACGTGCCTGAGCTCTGCTCCGCTCCGCTCCGCCGCCGCTGGCCTGCCACCAGCGGCCCGCTAACCTAACTTTCGGGCCACGTTGTGCTCTGTTTGTGTTCATCGTGTTCGAGATGGCAATGTTCGACGAGTGTGATGGAGGCGTCTTCGCGGAGGACCTGGAGTGTGCGATTCTTACGACGGATGAAGATTTCGTCCAAGCCGCCAT